AAATGTGGAACATCGCCATGAGTATGGAAATGTCTTCACGATCTCGACCTACACTTCTTTCCTTTCAATCGTATCTACTAATTGAGGTCATAATGCTGTAAACAGTTTTAGAACCGGAGCCCAATAGGCCCGGAGTCGGCGGTGCACGTTTCTTCCAATGTATTGCTTATTTCCACCTGTTACGTATTTCCGTCATTAAATGTGTATTTACGGTTGCAAAGTTGTTCGTCAGCAAGTAGGCTCTCGCCAGCAGAGATACTGACACACCTTCCTACAATGTGACCTAAAAAGCACGTCACATTGCGCTGTTTATTCTCTACCGGGGGCAGCATACTGTTATGATGAAATATTAGCCACTTCTAAAGTGGCGTCATATCGCTTCGCTATTAGATCATATGCTCATCTGTTTTCAATTTTTGCATTTCACTGCTACCTATCGTTTTCTGTTCATGGCATTCAAGCCGTCATGTATTATACCTGACTGAAACTTCCTTCTGTTGCGATTCTTCTGATATGAACGATATTTAACTGATTACCGTGTATGTTGTCATTTGCTCAGCGTTGCATCAGTCTCTGTCTTAGTGCTGATCATGTGGCCAAGTTTTGCAGCATCATTTTCGTTTTGGATGTCTTTCATAACGGAATTTTCGGTGAGTGTCAAAACGCTTTAAGGCACGTTCGTCAATTTTCTCGTTAGTTCAAGGGACTCATCGTGCAGTTCCAGATTTTGAACGCCTCAATCTGTCGGCGTCCTGTCCACCTGCTTACTCAGCATTCTACTGAACAGCTCGCAAATCAGTAGGTCACAGATTTCAGATGTCTGAACACAGTGAAGTTTCTAATGCTGTGAGGCAACAGGCTAATATGGATTCCTAGTTGTTGGGGAATCATTACGCTAAGATGATTAGTTTCGTCTAAAGTGACGTCAAAGCACTGAACGGATATGGCATGCTATAACAGAATATCGTTTCGACTTCAGCTGAAATGTAACTTATTGCCACTGATATCTCCTTCGTTTTCTTCGTCTTGACATTGAAATAGAACGTTTGGCTCCAGTTGTTGATTTTTTCGATCAGGAAAAACAATCCTGCTGGAGATATTGAGTGCTAGCACTGCACCATCTCTGCATCGAAGGTTTGTTATAGATTTTCCATAACCTGGGAATCTCTCGTGAAATATTGCAACGCTTGATAAGTAGAGATTTTACCAGATGAGGTAAGTTACGTTGGGGACGACGGGCAGCCTCCACAACGCGTCTCCGTGAACAGTGAAGGAACTAGTCAGAAATAGGATTGCGCCAAGCTGTTTGCTGCAAATGTCTCGCATCAGTCAGGTGATCTACTGC